TCTCAAATTGATTCCTTGTTGAACTGTAGTTCATGTGGATACTTTGCTTGCAATCTAATGACTCCAGAATATTAAGTTTTGATAATTCAGCATATTCATTAGCTTAGCCCTCAGCCGAAGAGGTTTCCATTCGCTGGTGCAAATGCACATCGCCCGCTCGTCCTGGAAGGAGGCTTACGCCAACTAGACCGCATCCTCCAAGTTTTGTTTCTGAAGCCCTTTTTCATATTATCCCTTCTTGATTCCTCGAAAAAATATTTACAGAGGAATCAGAATATACTTAACATCTATAAAAAAGTATTTTGCGCTTTTGTACGGTCCAACGAAGTCATAAATCACAATGAGAACGAAATTGAAAAGTTAATTTAATGATTATATATACGATAACAATATTACAACAAAAGGAAGGAAATACAAAAAAACCGCCCCGAAAAACCCGCGTAAGATGGGCAATCCAGTCGGCGCAAGATTCCATCCGGATAAGAGCGCGGTGTGCAGTGGCACAAGCAAACGTGAGATCCAAGCAAACGTGAGATCTGGTTGACTGTACATCAGATCATTGCCTTGCCAGAAGCAGTAGAATAAAAGTCGACATCATTTTGAAGGTTATCAAATTCATAATCAACATTTTACCAACCTTTCTGCAGCTCTTTTCTTAGATCTAACTCCATTGTTTAGATAAAGATCTGATTGAGATTAAAGAAACAAAAATCTGTATTCGACGTGCAGACATATGGACATGTACTGAGGCGCTCATTGCAAATGTGCTTCAGGGTGAGCGGGGACGAAACGGATCCATCGTGGGTCGGAGCTTGGTGGCTCGGTTTTGTTCTTGGCTCTGTGCTAGCATTAGTTGCCGTAATTCCAATCGTTTGCCTACCCAAGGTTCTTCCTGAATCTTTAAAGTGGCATAGGTGACTGTTGCTCTATCATTTTTCTTACCAAGGACGCTTTCCCATGATGCTTTGCTTTATATCTGATTATTTTTTCTAACAGAAATCGGCTCGTGGAGACTTCACAAACAGCTAGAAGACGCACTCCTGAGTGTTGTGGCCTTGCTGGCACGAATAAAACTGCAGCTCTATATAGAGATGCTCCGTCACAAGGTGTCTACATTAGAAAAGTATATAATGTATTTGTTCTGCTTATAGAAGACTCTACGCTATTGCTAACAACAATTGCCCATCGTGGAAGAGGACCACTTTGGTATAAACTTTGGTTGGATGTTCGACATATACCAATTGCGATCTATCGTATCTTGACCAACGCTCCATTTATGTTGATCACTCTTGCCATGGCAATTGACAGTATGTTAAACTTTTGTAACCTTGAATAATGATGCCTGTTTTGTTTCGTGTTAGTATAACATCTAATCTAGGCCTAATTGTTACGGGTACGTCCTCGTTCATGTCAAAATATCTAGAGCGACAGTTCAGTGTCCCACCAAGTAATTCCAACTTCCTCATTGGTACGTGTTTAAGTGCTTTCTTTTTTATTTTAAAACTACAGCGCGTTTTTGGTTAAGATTTTGAAATGGAGTTATAAAGTTATATCATTCAGCTCCTTTGTATATGATTTACTGTCAATCGCCTGCGTGTATTAGATTGTCCAGAAAGTCTTTCGAGATTCGTTCAAAATCCTATCGCTACAATGAGTTTTTCATTTCGTCTCATATAGCTATAATCCTTGCTATCATAGGACGTCCCATCTGTATATTTGGTGTTGGGTGATGCTTGAGTTGCGCTGTAATACGTGATATTTTCGGACATTATGTAGGTGATGATAATGATGAGACAGAGAAGGGATTATTGTACATTAATTTCAGCGTTTGTCAGCGCTTCTATCCAATTATATCGAGATTTACTAAAGGGAAAACTTTCTTTCAAAAATTCA